TTTTTTTTTTTTTGCACCTTTTTTCCAAGAAGACTAGTTCCCCCTCTTAAACCAAATCCGCAGAACCCGCGTAGATTCAAACTCCCCCCGTTCAGACTCCTGGTTCCTCTGTTAACACATCTCTAATTCAGACAAGATCTCCCCCCTTCTCTGGGTGGCCGCTCAGTGCCCCGCACTCCCTTTTTACAGAGCCCCCTCCCACCCCACCCTGCCAAATCCCTGGTTGCTCTCGGCTGCAGCTCTATCCCCCCGCACCCCGCATTCACCCCTCTGCTAGATTCCTCTCTCCCCTTGTCACCAACTTGGGCTTCCAGGGGTCGGGACCACTGGGACATCTTAGCGACCCCTGCCCGCCTTTCCCAGGCAGCGTCCTACATCCCACCGCTGTGGCCCAGGGTGCCAAAGAAACTGCCAGGGCGTCCTTTCTGTGGACAGAGAGTACCACACCCTTGAAACATTTCCGCTTGCCCCTGGCTAGGAGAAAGCAAGTGTTCACCAAATGTGTCTAAATCTGTACGGCTGTATATTCATAACATCATCTGGGGAGCATGCTTCCATGTTCAAATCCCAGTCGTTATATAAAATAGGTGGGGCGCCTCAGCCAACAGAGCTGTCTCTGGTTCTTGCCAGCCCTCTCCACCCCGCCCTGAGGGGCTCCTCTGTTCCCTGAAAGGCTTTCTCCCCTAAGGAGAGAGTCCTGGGTGGGTGGTGTCCTAAGAGGTGAACTGTCACAACTGAAGGCCTCTGAAAGCCGCCCCTCCTGGGGGCTCATGCATTCACTTTAAAAAAAGCTTGTTCCAGGCCTCTTCTGTGCCAGTCCAAAGCCATCACCCTCCTGCCTGCCTCCACCTGAATTGCCGTTCCTGAGTTTAGGAATAACAGGAACCACTCCAGCCTGATAAAGCATTCTGTGATTATCCCCAGGGAACTGGCTTCTTAACCTTGCCTATTCTGCAACTTAGGGTTTAACCTTCACGGCTGGGTGGTAGAAGTCTCTAGGAGTTGTGAAACATCAAATTAACAAATACCACTGAAGGAGCCTTTTAGGTACAGGGCCAGTATTCCCTGATGCAACAGACACTCCGACCTGGGATGGCTCCATCAACGGCAGTGATGGCTACTGGGGTCCTTTCCGAATGGCCAGTTCTCCCACTTCCCAGGGCACCCTCAAACAGAAGCACTGCTGGGAGTATTTTTGTAAGCTGGCTGTATCGAAACTTGGTTGTCTCATTTCAAAACAGTTGTGGAGCCCAGAAGGCATCCGAGGATATTGCTTTAAAATCTTGACTTGATGGTGTAAAATTGATCCCTCTTCCCAAGAGTTTGGGGGTCTGGGGCAGGAATAGGAAGGAGAATGAGATAAAGATGTGTGAACACTTATCCTTTACAACCTAGGAATAAAAATCACAGAAGGGAAACAGAACTTGAAGTCAGAGTTAACGTTAGGATCTGCAAGGCAGCTTTTACTTTTGTAAGTTTTTAAAAATGTCAATCATACTTCTTTTGGCATTTTATAAAGAAAAGAACCCCAGAAGAACAAAATTTTAACCCCACAATAAAGAGATCCTTTAAATATTCAGCATTGTTTTTAACACAGGAGTTACAGTACTCCCTAGACCAAAATAAAATCCTCAGAATGCAGGACTATGCAGCCTGCTGTCCTGCTGGGCAGTTTGCACATTGCACAAAGCCCTGGAGAGGTGGGTGGGGCTGAGGTCCACCAGAGCTCAGCTCACCAAACCCTTTTCCCCAGGGGGCCCCATGGAAGGGGCCTCTTTGAATTACCTGTCCAAAGGGGGCTTTTTTGGGTATTCACATGAAGGTGACTTACAGGCCAGCTGTACCCTTGATACTAAAGATACGCCCCCAGAGCTGCAAACAAACAAACAAACAAATACCTAATTGCATGAACAACAGAATGTGAAGCTTTGGTTTCACGAACAAAGAAAAACAAGTTAGGTCTCATCTCCCAGGGCCCTGCCTGCTGCACGTTGGTGCCATCAGCACTGCTCCTCAATTGTGCTGCATGATTCAGAATGACTGGCATTAGGGTGTCAGGAGGAAGGGGACGGGCAGAGCTGGGGAGGGGCTTGGCCCACTGCCTGCTTCACATCATGTTGATTTCACTAGGCTGTGACTCCTTAAAAAAAAACTGTATGAAACCCAAGAACTACTTCCCCCTACTCTCTTACCCAAACTCTGGAAACGAGTCATAATATTAGAAATGGCTGGGGGCGCCTGGGTGGCTCAGATGGTTAAGCTTCTGCCTTCGGCTCAGGTCATGATCCCAGGTTCCTGGGATCGAGTCCCGCATCGGGCTCCCCGCTCCTTGGGAGCCTGCTTCTCCCTCTGCTTCTCTCTCTCTCTATCCTCTCTCTCTCTCCTCCTCTGTCTCTCATGAATAACTAAAATCTTAAAAAAAAAAAAAAAAAAGAAAGAAAAAAGAAATGGCTGGGCACAGGGATCCCTTCAGCCATGCTGCATTCATGCAGAAATTTACGGGGTAGTTTTCTTCCGTCTTGAAGGAGGTAAAAATTTTGCTCTGCATAGCCCCCAGGGCAAAAGTCTACAAGCAGAGGAGAGGCCCCCGTGTTCTAGAGTCCGGGACCCAGGACCCAGGCCCAGGCCTCAGGCACCCAGGGATTGGAAGAAGTACTATGTGATCAGGGTTAGCTTGTTTTAATTAAGCACTCAGACTAGACTGTGTTTGTTCATTTATTTCTTCCGTTAGACTAGAGGCTACTTGAGGGTAAGCACTGTCCTATTTTATGTTGTAACCCCAGCACCTGATCTGGCACCTGATACAAAGGAATATCTGCTGAAGAAATGAGTGAAAGGTCAGAAAACTTTGAGCCCCGTGTGGAATTTTTCTTGAGAAAGTGTTTTTAACACATAAATATTTCTTTCTGATTTCCTGAGGCTAAATTGAGCAATCCAGACACATCACAGGGTTAAGAATATGTTTGAACATATCCTTTGGGTTCTGAACTCATCTATTGACAGTTGAACTTGTCACCGAGAAAAGAGCATGAACGTTTCACTTATAGGGCATTACTGGGGGGAGAAAGGTAACATTCTATAGTTTTCTGACTTTGATTATACTAGATAGCTTTCTTAGTGCACGATTCTGCTACATTTCCACACACATTGAGCTTATAAAAATATTTTTCTTCCTAAAAGGACTTGGATAACGACAAATATGTCTGTTTTAAATATACTACTTGACATATTCACATACATTAGCTCATATGATTCTCCAAGCAACCTGGCAGGTGGATTGAGTGAATGTCACTATTTAACAGTTCATAGAAAAGGGCATGAGCTCCTTTAAAGGATCTGTCAGTGGCAATGACAGTGTTAGAGGCTTCTAGGCTTGATCTTCTAATTCCTGTTTCGATGTTGGAATGGCCCACTCTAGAAGTGAGAGCGTAAAGTGTTCTATATGTATCACAATCATTTGTTGACGGATCCTGCCATTGACCAAGAAAGTTTCAAACATTTATCATCTTTACCAGTGATTTGCAAAAGTTTTTACTGGAACAAGATTTTAACTCATGCTTTCCTACCATCTGTTTCCCATCCCAGCGGTGGCTGCCACGTTGGCCCGTTGGCGAACTACAGAGTAGGGGAGGCCACCTTTCAGAAGGTGGCATGTTACCAGTCACTTGTTATCCTGTTGTGGGGTGAGGGAGGGTAAGCCTGAAGATAAGAATGGATAGTCAGACTTCCCACCCCACTCAAGAAAAATCTCTCTTCAAACACATTGCACACTTCAGACAGGCTAACTACACCATCGTTTGGATTTTACCATATCCCTGTACTTACCCTGCTCTTGTCTGAAGTGAGATTGGCTCTACTTTTCAAATGTGAGCTGTGTTTGGAGAGGTAGGAGAAGCGACCCTGCGTCTGGGCCAGCCTGAGTCGGGCTCAGGGTGTAGCTCTCTCTGGGAATCCTCTACAACCAGAGGCCAGGGTCCCAGGGTGTGAGGGGACAGAAGTTAGGATGGTCAAAAAGAAAGCATGGCTTCTTTAGCAATCTTGCCTAGCGTCCTCAGATCATCTAGTTTATGAAGCTCAATAACCATTTAACCCTGACTTAGGAGAATCCAACATTCTTGAAGGAGCTGGGCAAAGCTGATGCGTCAGGATGTCCCTAACAACAACCTTTAGAACCGCAACAAGTTGGAAGTAACCCAGACGGGTATAGTAGGGATTAGTTAGATAAACCTCCATCACCCCTAAGTGGACGATGTATGCCGTCATCGGAAACTAGGTGGTGAAGTCTATCTGACAGGAGAGGGATCACAGGAGAATGTGTCATTTCCCCTCCCTTGTCATCACTCACCCCACGTTTCCTCGGGGAATCATTCCCTCTCCCACTCAGTCCTTGTGTTTGGTCTCCACTGACAATGGGGGATGGGCTTGAGACAAAGCCTGCTGATGAGAGCAGCACCTTCCCCAACCAGAGGGGTGAAGCCCCAACGGGCCACTGAGAGCCAAGGGGACTCAGTTCTTATTGCAACTGGTGGGAAAGAGGGCAGGCACCTGGGACCTGAGATGCAGGCACCAG